CTTATTTTGTCTACTACGATGTAGTGTAACACCGTTAGCTAAAGAAATAATTATTATTTTATAAAACTGTAATTTCAAAATATTATTCTTGTAACCGGGAAACTTTTAAAGTATATTATTATATTTTACACACACAATGACATTTTCAAATGCAATTTTTTTGGGCCAAAATTAATTTACCTACAACTGTAGTAAGTACTAATTCCTAATATAAAAATACATTAATTTAATAGCAATGATATAAAATTATATAATTAATTGTAATATTATTGGATGGCAGACCGTCTTCGCTGAGAATCGTTTTTTCGTATACAATAGCTATAAATTCTGGAGACCCTAAAAACACATGGAAATTAATAAAAAATCTAACTAATAAACCAAATACTGATAATGATATCATAAAACGCCTTAACTATAACGGGAACATTATTGATGCACAAAAAGAACCTTTAACTGCGTCCAATCATTTAAATATGTTTTTTTCCACTATTGGACAAAATCTAGCAAAAAAAATAAATAAATGTTTTGAAGAAGTTTCTGATGAGCGTACACCAGTGATCAATTTCAACAATTTATTCTCGGTAAAAATACACTCGATGGAAATCATGAATATAATAAATCATTTTAAAGACGATGTGGCCTGTGGTTTTGATAAAATTAATGTCAAAATTTTAAAAAACTTAGCACCGTATATAATAAATCCTTTAACACACATATTCAATTTAAGTCTGAGACTTGGTATTTTTCCAGATAAATTAAAAGTAGCAATAATTAAACCTCTACATAAAGGTGGTGATAAAGAAAATATGAACAATTACCGACCAATCTCTATGTTGAGTAGTTTTTCAAAAATTTTTGAAAAAATTATCAAAGCTCGTTTGATAGATTATCTGGAAAATAACAGTCTTCTTTCTAAAAATCAATATGGATTCAGACCTAGGAGAAGTACCGAAGATGCTTTATATGCTGTCACAACATTTATATCTAAAGCACTCGATAAAGGTGATAAAGCATTAGGTATATTTCTAGATTTAGCGAAAGCTTTCGATACTGTAGATCATAGTTTATTAATTAAAGTTTTCAGTAGTTATGGTATAAATGTTTAAACTGGTTCAAAAGCTATCTAAATAAGAGGAAACAAATTACAAATATGAATGAAGTTTTGGGACAGGTAAATGAAGTTATGTATGGTGTACCACAAGGTAGTATTCTAGGTCCAATTTTGTTTATTATGTACATTAATAGTCTATGTGATATGAGAGTTGATGGAAAAATAGTTGTATATGCGGATGATACATGTCTGTTATTATCAAGTAGTAATTGGGAAACTCTTAGACAAAAAACAGAATTAAATTTCAAGAAAATAATAAAGTGGTTAAATATTAAAAAACTTTCTTTAAATTTCAACAAAACAATGTTCATGGTTTTTTCAATAAATTATACTTTACCACCGTTTGAAGAAATTACATTACATGACTGTTCAATTGTATCAAACTGTAACTGCCCGAAAATCAATATAGTAAAAAGAATTAAATATTTAGGACTAATATTCGATTGTAACCTCAAATGGAATATTCACATCAATAGTTTAATAGTAAAATTGCGATCGTTAATGTTCAAATTTCATATATTAAAACATATAACATCATCCCATACATTGAGAATAGTTTATCTTTCTCTATACCAATCAATATTGCAATATGGCATGGTAATTTGGGGAGGTGCATCCATAAATGTTCTTAAGCCATTAAGGGTTCAGCAAAATAGTTTAATTCGTATATGTCTGAAAAAGGACAATCTTATTGGGTCTACCTCGTTAAACTATATAGAGTTTAATGTGCTTCCGCTTGAATTACTTTACAAAAAATCCGCAATCATGTTTGTACATAAAAAATCAGACTTTTTCTTTATTAAACAGAATGACAAGCCTTTGGGGGAAGATAGACTATGTAATATTAAAGTCTTATTTACTAATACGAGTTTTGGTCAAAAATTTATTAATTATATGGGTCCTGTCATTTTTAACGCCTTGCCAATTGATGTGAAAAAAAATATTTTTAATGATCAAATTAACATAAAAAAATGTATAAACAATATTTTATCTAGTGAACTAAGGCAATGTCTATTTTAAGAAAATTGTATATTTTAGTATCTCTTAATTATTTTAATTATTTTACAATGTTGGTTATTTTTTGTTAAATTAAGTAATTAATTAAATCATATATATATGTACTGTTACTCCCTACACCACCACAAGCCTAGCTTAAAGGTGTAGGTAATTTTTATTATTTTCTTTAAATACTTTGTTTGTATTGTGTTTTCAAATAATAAAAAATTTTTCTCTAAAAAAAAAAAAACAATGATTTTATATAATTGAATTCAAATTTAACACAATGGCTGAACTACAGTGACACCTCTAGAAGCTTAATGTACTGGAGCAGAGAGTTTTTTTTTTTATTTGTATATTTTGTCTTATAGATTGGTTACTTTATCCGTTGGATTTGGATATTTTGTCCCAATACCCTTTCAGACATATACGGTGTACATTGTTACATTAATATCAACGGTAGTATGTAAATTGTATGTTCTATATTGCAATAGGGTAACCGACCAGTGATCACTGGTGTCCGGTGATAAATATATTAAAATACGTATGCACACAGTATTACAATACCTACTGCCGAGTAATTATAACTGCAGCTGCAATGCTGCATAAAGTATAATAAATCCACATACTTAAGCCCTTAGATAACCCATTGGTCACCTTTCTACGTCCGATCGTATTTTTTGTTGTAATAATTTAAAAATTAAATAAACTTTGAAAAACGGCTAAAGTTAACATTTACCAATCTGTTTTAAACCATTTTCGATTATTAATAAGAATATTTATAATATAAATAATTAACTTTGTTAAAAATATCAATCTCGTGCGTAACAAAGAATATTTAAGTCGATTCGAGAACACGAATATAATATTCATAAAAACCACAGTGTTGATTCAAAGGTAGATTTTTCCAGTTTTTCGAATTATTTTCATGAATAAATTATGAAATCATTGAATCGAATATATTACATTTGATCGATATATTTATGAACCAAATGTGGAATAAGATGTATATTAAGGATACAGGTTTTGAATAATGATATGATATTGCGATGCGCGTGAAATATAAGTCAGACCGGAAAAACACTTTTATTTCAAATAAACTTTTATGTTATTTCGACTTGGCTTAGTAAATACTTAATGCGAAACGTCAAAGAGTTAGTAAAAAAATCATTATAAAAGTCTTTTCGACGGAAATGTTTTTGTTTGAAGGGAAATGACGTGATTTTGTGAAATAGAAACAACATGATGGTGGTGTGAAATAGAATCGAGATAAAATTCGTTAGGCACGCGTTGTGCACAATATGTACACACCCTGAGGGTACTATAGGTATAACGTGTTTATGGTATATATCTATGACTCAAGTGAAAATTAAATGGCATACCGAGAGAAAGAAAGAATTTTTTGTAAAAAAAAAAAAGAAACAAACTTCATATTATATTCTATAAAACCCTCCGTTTTAAAACCATCGACAGAAACTATTTTAATAATCTTTTATCATTTAAAATTATTTTTACCCGAAAAAAAAATAAATACCGTAATAACGTTTTTATTATTTTTCCCATATTATTGGCAGAGGATATTATCGAACAATGGGTACGAATTTCGGATGGGTGAAGGCTTTTTTAATAGTAATAACAAATTATATTGTCATCAGAGTTGAGTAATGAACATGCATTCCCAGTAGGATTAAAAAAATACCATAGTCAATGTAGTTTAGAGAATAGTTTAAAAAAACTATTTTTTATGTATTTTTTTTTTTTCGTCTTGATGTTTTTGTAGTGTTCCTTTTAATTTATTTGATTGCGGTCGTATTTAATTTGAAAAACAAAAAACAGTTTATCGACCCGCGGTGACCGTACACGGAGAAATAAGAGCATAAAACCGAACGTCTTGTTCTCACGATTCGACATGTAACTAATATCGTTTTCAGCAAATATAATTATTATACCGAACGAGACCTATAATAAACGCACACAAAAGATTTCACTTGCGTTGTACAATCGTTTCGGAAATCGAAATTGTATTTACAGTCGACGACCTGCAAAGTCAGCAGTGCGCCAAAGCCCCAAAGTGAAATGAAAATATTATCGTCTCCGAGTCGACGTTTGCCGGTGAATCGATCGGAAACCTAGTCGGACGGTCGCCCGAAAATGCCCACCAAATTGTATTGTTTGTATTGTATATAATACGGCCACGCAGTGTCTCTTTCAGAGCGATTCGGATGTCTCCGTCACGGCACGACGATAACACGTGGGAAGACGAAATATATATATTATATATTTATATACACGAGCTTCGTGTATTGTATTGTATTGTATTGTATTGTATTGTGTGTGTGTGTGTGTGTACGACAGTGACAAACGTTTGGCTTTTGTCCGACGAGACCTGCAGATAATAATATTCCGAAAAGGCCGTCGGAGATATTTTGGCAACTCTCTCGTAGGGGACGTAAACCAACCGAGAGGCACGTCTCTCTTTTGATATAGATACTATAACTGTACACAGCTAGCTGTTTCGTACTATATCTAATATATTTCGTAGGTATATAAAGGTATGTTTGGTATAATAATATCGTCTCTATGATCACTTTCCTAAAGTCTATTGATGCACGGTCAGGTGGAAGTTCGATTGATGAACAGCAATTTTATGTGGGCGGTATTCGGGACAGGGGGAACTGCAGTGACAAAGTGGTGACGAAATATTATAGAGCTAATTTTTTGTTTGTTTCGCCTAACGGGCGTGTGACACAAAATTAGCGACGCCTAATATTTGCATATAATATTATGACGGGCAAAAACATTAATCCTGCCCAGACGGTATTAGTAGTGTTATTGTGCAGTGACATAGATAAATTATTATTATATTATTAATCCGCTGTCGGGTCGTACTTACTTCGTTTCATGGAGTACGCGTGCAACAGAGCCGTGATCATGTTGCACTTGGCGTCCCGGCGGGCAATCAGAATGTCCCTCCTCTTCAGCGCCTTTACGAGAGCTTCGCAGCACACGTTCAACTGGTCCCTGAGCAAGTCAACAGTGGTGGACAGCTCTTCCACACCTAACCAAAATCGAAATCAAAATCATAATTAATGGACAGATGTAAAACGCACGTCATTCTATCGGAGTAATCTACACACAGGACGACTCATCGCCAGCCCGGTTTTTTCTTCGCAGTTGTCAAAAATGTGATTTTTGGAATTTTCAAATACTTATATACATTATACTTATAATGGCAATATTTCAAATTCTCAAGATTTTTTTGTAATACTTAATGTGGGTCCCGTGGGGATACAAACTTCTGGTTTTTTTTTTTAAATAATCTCTTTTCATACTTTTCATTATTTAGCGGATATTTTTTCTGTCATAAAAATTGAATTTTCAACAAGTAGTGTTTTAGTTATTTAACTGTGCACACTGAGGATATAATAGATCTACATGATATTGTCTTTGGAATATATGGCGGCTATGGCGATTTGAAACTTTTAGCAATTTATATTAATCTATAAATATACTGGGTGATTCTTTTATCAAACAACACTCATTATTTCAAAAAGTGTAAATTTTTTTGAAAATATTTTTTTACATAGTTTCAAGTCACTTATAAAATAACGTTTTTATAAAAAAATTATATTTTTAAATGTTTTTTATCCTTATACATTTTTAAGTTTTTTACATTTTTGAATAACAACATAGGGTTTTAATTTTATATTCCAAAGCAGAATATTTTTCTTAGTATTTTGATACATGAAAATCGACTTTGGGTTGAGTAGTTTATGAGTTATAAATATTCAAAGTTTGATGAGCGGTGAAGTGGACAAACATTTCGCGGGGTAACCCCGAACCACTCCACTCCGCTCGTCTAAACTTTAAATACTTATAACTCGTAAACTACTCGCCTCAAATTCGATTTTAATGTATCAAAATACTAAGAAAAATATTCTACTTTAGAATATAAAATTAAAACCCTATGTTGTCATTTAAAAAAGTAAAAAACATAAAAAATTGTAAGGATAAAAAATATTTAAAAATATAATTTTTTTATAAAAACGTTGCTTTATAAGCGACTTGAAACTGTGTAAAAAAATATTTTCAAAAAAATTTACACTCTTTGAAATAATGAGTGTTGTTTGATAAAAGAATCACCCAGTATATAATTTTTAAATATGCTCCAAGTGTAATAAATACTAGATCCATTATTACCTCTATTTTATATTTTTGTGATATAATTTTAAATTTTTGAAGACGATCATCATTGCCATAAACATTACAGTAGTTGAAAAACTTACCAGTGCGAACTCTAAACCAATTATTCAACTTGGTACAATTTTATCAGATGGACGTGTTCATTCATAAAAAAAGTTTGCCCAGACACTATGGTAAATGGGTATACGTCATAAGCTGTCTAATATTATTATTATATGCTACGAAAAGTAATTTGAGGATACTTCTACATATAATATAATCAGTGTGTGTGTGTATAGTTAACTATAGTACTTGCACATATTGTACTATGTTTGATCACTAGTCATTGTAGGTTGACGATTTCAAACATGTAATAAAAAGACGTTATCATACATTTTTTTTTTTTAATATTAAGTGAATATTATGTTTAGCTTACGATTTCTGCATGGTTGAGTGATGGCTATAAATTGACGTTATGTAACCTTAGTATCGGCGTTATATGTAGTTGGAGATCGAAAAATAATAATACTATAGATTGTTTTCCAAGCATGGTTTTTTTTTTACAGTATCGAATGATTGTATCTACCTATAAAATCGAACTCATTAAAAGTCTAGTTGTTTGAAAAAAGAAAAAAAACGTTCTAAGGTCGCCAATTCCGTACAAAAAACCAATATAAACGTCGTCGAGTGTAATGCAGCGAATTGAATCGTTGCGTTCTGTGCTTATTTGTTTTTTTACCTGAATCGTATCAATTTTAGCATCAAATAGCATTTGTTTGTATTGTGATTTCGTCGTACGGATGTTATTCCAGAAATCTGAACGAAAGTGATAATCTGCATTGCTGTATTCGTGGACCGCGGACTCGGTCGGACGGAAACAGAAACATGTAAATCTCTGTCAATCGCAAAAGCTCTGTCTCCAACGAATGGCCCGTAATTTGGTTTATTTATACTCCAACAGACATTGTTGCCCCTTGGGCTTGTTACGATGAGAATAAATGATGATGGAACCTAGGTTGTGATGATGTTATCTCGACATGAACAACTTAATGTGCACTGCCTTGGATTTGACTGGATAGGCAACTTAATGCGCACTGCCTTAAAATGACCGGGTAGGCAACCAGATACGACGACGACGAAGATAGGAGGGGACCAAAAGAGACTTAAAATTACCGGACCAAGGAAGTTAAGTTTATGCACGGGAACAAGGAAGATGAGTTTAGTTATTTGGGGGGATGTCTTGGTGGTCGGAATCGGTGTGGTGCAATGACCACCAAGCTCACAGAAATCGGCGAATACTTAAAATCTACCCTTAACTCTACGATGATGATGATGTGGATGAAGGCTGCAACAAATGACAAACGACGGCGAATGGACTCGAAGACCTTGGCGGCCTCTCACACACCACGGCGGGTGCTGGCGGTCTTACGCATTGACTGATGGCACCAATCCCGATCTCGGGCGATTGAAAAGCACCGTCAAATGATGTCTCAATGACGAGCTGATGAGACGAGTAGGTACACCGTGTACCTACTACCGTAGTGATACTCAACCAGAAATACAAACAACTCACTTAAATGCTGGTAATGATGGTGCTTTATTAGAATAATAAAGTAATCAAACGGCTTCGTGTCGCACTGACTCGGCCGGTACAAAATTTTAATATGTGTCGCAATGACAGCACAGGTAATTTATTTAACGGATTACGTATTGCCGCAGTGGCAACGAAAACAAACAATTCTGCGTTGCTTCAATAGCAGAAAAAAAATAAAACAAAAATGTGTAAATTCACGAACCAACAAAACAATAATTTCTTACACTTAATATATGTACGACGATGTGTATATGTAAAAAAAACTTAACGGTAAAAAATTAATAACAACCATAAAGGCGTTGGCCGCGTAATCACAACAAAACATTAAAACAGATGATATAAAAACAAAGACAATATGACAACAACGATAACAATAATAATAAATTAATTTATATAAGTGATTATAATTCACATACCTAACGAATAATGATTAAATGAGGACGAGGAAGAGGGAGAGAGATAAAGACTGGTCGCCGCCGTTGCGCTGTTTTGCATATCGCATGATAATCACAACACTGTGTCGCGGCAACAGACATGTTTGGACTGTTTTCTGTATAAATCAATCGCGTTTACATGAATATATTACAGTGGGTAATGGGTATATAGGTAGCTGCAGGTATACAGATCCGAATGATTGTACGCATTTGTCACGATCTCTCTATCTCTATGTATATATATTTGTGCTATTTATAGACTAAAACACGTGAGAGGAAACTGTTTTTGCGACTTATGTTTTGTGGTAGAGCTTGTACTGCAATTTCGTAAAGGATGTTCGCAGTATGCCTATGAACAATAATCTCGTTTTCGTCGATCGTGCGTTACCTACGGTTTTGCAATAAATTTACAATACTTCTACACACATGGCGTACAATATCATTGTAATAATATACAAATTTTCGGGACTAGGACGTTGAGCCGACAACCGACGAGCAGACGGCCGAAGAGCCGAAGAGCCGACAACCGACGAGCCGTCGGCGTCGTTGGGTATTAAATCCAAAATTTCCAAATTATATCGATATTTATCAAAGCAAATATTTGAGATAAGATATCGAACCAGTAATATAATACATCATACAACCGAAGAGCCGATGTGTTATTCTCTAATGTAATATTGAATCAGTGAGGTTTGTGCCTTCGTCGTATTTTATTTTATAATAATGGAGTGTTATTTGTTGAACAACAAACTTATTATAAATGGCTATGTTATGGTCCGAAATAAAGTGCGTGAAAATCGGTACAACTGGGAGTGTGAAAAAAGAATCCATAGAAAAACTTTAGAAACACATGAAAATTGTAATGCCAGAGCTACGACTGATTGTGTCAATGGTTAACATACACTTCGTGGCATGCTTCATATTATTAATGATAAAGGTAATAGGACCCTGATAGATTTTCTAAAAGGTACAGCTTATAATATAAAACTATAAATGTAATTTTTTTACGATTTACGATTTTTAGACGATTATACTATTAATATTGATATTAAATATATTTTAATTTAACAATAACATATTATTTTAAAATTAAATTTATATTAAAATATGTAATTAATTTTTTATGACGATTATACTATTAATATTTTGGTATTAAATATATTTTAATTCAACAATAACATATTATTTTAAAATTAAATTTATGTTAAAATATGTAATTATTTTTTTAATATATTTTGTAGACGAAAATAAATTGTAATTAAGTAAACAATTTTTTATTTTTAAACATTAATATATTCAATTTAGATACCATGTCGGCCTGATATCCTGTCGGCCAAACGCCGTCGGCTTTATATCTTGTCGGCCTACTGGTTGTCGGCTCAACGTCGTGATTCCCAAATTTTCATATTTTTATTTTCATCTTTACATTTTTAGTATACCCGCATAAAACGAAATAATAAACAACTTCATAGTTCATTTTAATTTCAAATGAACAGGTGGTAATAACGGTTGACGGTACCTTTTTTTTTTTTTTATTAATTAAATCTCCAATACACTCACCAGCCAGGAACGCCGTTAAGCAAAGCTTCAGGTGGTGAGTCGCCATAATTTATTGCTCAACATCATAAACAGTTTTTAGGGTGCAAATGGGACAATCCCCCAATACCATCAGTAAGGTTGAAGGTACCTATATGCTATGAACTCACAAAATGTACTGATTTCCGTGTGTCTGAGTGCCTATACATATAGCGTCATTTCATATTAGTGTCATAGGCGAAAATAGTGTTTGACATTTTTTTTTGGGTGGCAGGGGGGGACTGAAAATGTTGATGTGAAGATGAAAATATTTTCATACATTTAAATTTGGGTGTAAGATATTTAGGTTTTTTTTTTGGGAGGGGGGGAGGGGCTAAGCACCTCAGCTCTCCCGTTAAGCATAGAGTAAGTTATTCTAACAAGCTGATGGATCAGAATCACGGAGGAGAGTCTGAAACAATCGATTGAAAATCCGTAGAACCAAAATTATGTGGGTATGAATCGTTTTCGTAACATAATAATATGTCAATAAAAATATAGACGATTGATAAACCTGTCCTAAATGCCAAGCATGATAAAATTAATAACTCAACACTTTTAATGAATAACATGAACATGTTTTAAATACTCATTATGTGAATTAGGCGTGCAATATTGGCTTAATTTAAAACATAAACGGTAGGTATATTAGGTATAATATGTATAATCGTAAAACATATTTTCATCACAGCCCGCAGAGGTGATATTGAGACCAGAAATGTTGGTTAACCGCTTTCGTGGATAAATTATTAACGTTCGCTATATTACGTCCGACCGACCGTGACGGTTAATCAACGATTAGTTGGTATTAATCAAACACGCCAATCGATTTTTAGCGTTTTACTTATGGCCTTTGAAAAAAAATTAATTTCATCTCGTCGTACAGCTCACTCGCACGACGGTTTGTATTTTCTGTGACAAACCTAATGCAATTCTTAATCTTATTTTCTTGATACGTTTTAAACGTGACGAGTATAGGAAAATGACTGTCGCCCATGCAAAGTCACACGAGTTTTAATGACGTGCAACATTATTCTCGAGCGGATGTTTACACGGACGGAAAATAATGAGCAAAATAATAACGACACGGCGCAGAGAATTATATTATAAAAGGTGTATTATATTATTATTATAAAAGGTGTATATTATAGTATAAAGTGTAATTTATTGTATTATTATTACTATACTTTATACGGTATACGCGTATTATTAATAAAATTACTTCTATCACGAGCTCGGTGCATTTAAAACCGTGGTGTAGGTTTTTTCTACGGGGTGGAAGGGTTGGCCGTTCAAATATTTGAACAATAAACTGAGTTTGTTTAGTATTTTACAATGTGGTTTATTAATTTGTTAGGTATAGGTAATTCACAAACAAGTTGGTAACAGAAGGTAGTATATAGTTCAAAAATTCATGAGATCACTTTTATTTATTATCGTCTATACTCATTTGTGCGCCTATCAGTCATGTATCAAAAATATTCAAATAATATTATCATATTTTAAATTTAATTTATTTACCAGCCTATTCTAGGTACCTAAATAAAAAGGTTAAAAAAAAATTATAAATTGTTATGATTTTTGTTTTTTTTTAGTTCCATGGTGGCAGCATTAGAGCCAGAGAAACCGGTCCTCCCCCCACCCCCACCCCCCACTGGATCCACTGTTAATTCACCACTGGTTGTATATATTATAATATGGGTAATAATGGGTACCTATAATAGTGTATTTTACTAATTAAAAAGCACGAGGATACATATCATATATTATAACTAGGGCTCGAATAAGTTGTTGCAGTAGCGTACGCAGGATTTTAGTTCGGTTAGGGTTTCACCTGAGTAAATAATTTACATTATTTTTTTCTAAATAGTTTTTATGTAATTGGTTATAACAAATTATAATTAGTCCCAAATGTAGTCTACATTAATAACACTCGAGTGTTCAATCTTGACACCTATGGTCATCTATAGAGCCTCTTCGGGTCGTAATATGTGGTAATTATCGTTGGACGGTGATACATGATGATACACCATACGACGGTTATGACAGATGTTTAGCAATGCCCTAAATCAGCCAAAAAACTGAAACTATGATTATCGACGTCTTTGTCATATTTAACAATTTATATTATATCTATTAAAAATGACCAACAATTGGTCGACTTTGTGTATTTAAATGGTTTTATTTTTTTGTCAACGGAAGAAATTTCAGGGGGAGTCAGAACCCTAGAACCCTACCCCTGCGTACGCCACTGAGTTGTTGCATTAACATGTTTGTTTGTTTTTTTTTCGGACCGTCAGATTTATCGCTAATTAAAATTAATTTCACGAAACTACGTCTATTTATATAACGTTTAACGTCGAATTAAAGATAAAAAGCTCACGAGATTAGCTTGCTTTTATATTGTATACCGTTGAAAACTTACTGATCATTGCAAAACACGTACCTTTGTGGTCGTGTTAAAAAATATTACAACGATATGTTCGGCCCTGCAGTGGAAACTATACTTCGAGTTAGGCGTGAGTGTTCCTATATATATATTATATTATTAAACTTTCATGCGTATTATTATAATATTCTATACAAGTATAGTCTGTATAGATCGAGTGGGTATAATGTACATTATATACGAATGGTGGTGGTCTCTGGGTGATATGAGTTTCGATATTATTTTTGTTTGATTCACGATTGCGATATTCTTCGTCCGCACGTCGACGGAATAATATTATAATAATAATATGCGTACATCGTTCTCCATGGAAATACGTGGCCACGGTACATAATTTTTACACCAAATTCGTCAGTCAATGCAAATCTGCTGGATGAAACGACCATATTATTTTAAGTTTGTCCGCGGTAAGACGAACCACTAATCGTGTTAATCATACGCATTTATTTTTATATTAAATGCGTTTTCGATCTACCCTGCACCGCCCAATCCGATAAGCAGTTCAAAACTATGCCGTGATTAGAAACAATTTTATTTTTTTTTAATTTGTTAGAACTAGTTTTGAAGGGTTTGAAAATTATAAGAAATCGACATAATTTATTGGGAAACTATATAATATATTTTGTTTTAAATGGAAACATTTCGGTTTTAAATAAATGGATATTTGTAAGCACAACTCAATAAAATAAATACTAAAAAAATAAAAATAAAAAATTGTGAAATAAATCAGACCACTCGATTCTATTGATGAGTTTGATCATTTACTTATCAGAACTTGAACTCTACTCAAATGGTTATATTTTATTTATTTCAGGACAGTAAGTTTTAATATTTATACGACTTTATTGAACTATACTATTCTGAGAATAATTCCAATTATGTTTTGCCCATCGATAGATCTCAATATAGAACTTCAGTTTTCTCAAAAACTTCTTAAAATTTATGATCCGTGTTTGTGCGTAATTCCCCAGTTCATTAAAAGTCTCTCAATTTCAAAAGATTCTATAGTAGATTGAACAATTTCAAAAAATAGTTTTATGATTTTATCGTGGTTTGAAAACCCGACGTGTATCACATATTGAAATCAATTTGAATAATTTAGTACCTAATTTGGTCTATTTTTATTATTATTATTTATTTTTTTAATATTTTTCTGTACACTTTCCCACATAGCTGAACTTTTAATGACATTTTCAACAGATTTGATTGTACTCACACTATTTCTTACACGTTGAACATCACATGATGACATGAATGAATATTATGTTTGTGAATTATCATTATCCACCTGTAGATTGTGCACTTTGTACAGCTGCTGTTATTAACTTAATGATCACGAGTTTTCGTCAACATGATATATTATATTCACTCATTTTTTTATGTCCATTATTTTACTTTAGACTGTCGATCAATTTTATTTTGACCGCCGTTGCAGATACATCACACATCATCAATTTTGGCTTCCAAGTATAATATTTGTTTTAGTTAAATCGTATATTTCACCTAGTATCTATAGTCGATCATCTGCGACGGTGCATCGCATTTCATTGTATAAATTCGATAAGAGAATAAATAGCAATAATAAATATTATTAATATTTTTTATATGGTAGGTATAAGGCACTTGTCAGTAATGTAATAAACTTATTTGAATATTCGTCAAAATTTATATTTAATTTTTTCCCAATTTTCACTTAAAAATTACGTAATAGTACCTACACCTTGTTTATCATATAGCTAGCATAGGTAGTCAGTACATTATATAAGATTTTCTATTGTTAAAATATTTTATATAAAAATCGTCAAAATTCGTTTCTGATTTGTAAGTTGGGCGAACCACAAATAAATCGAACGAGGAGGGGTCGGAAATCGATAACCACAATGCTAATTAATTGTGAACTATAAAACGTGAATGTTATACGAACATTATAGAACTTAAAACTAGCCTCAAAAAGTGATAAGCTGCATTATTTAGTTAAGTTTTACTTTTTCTGGTCAGTCTCTTGGACCATCCTTCGTTCGTGGCGATCGTTGGCCTACCGCCGCCGTCGCTCCAATTCGTCTGATCTGTCGACGATTCGGAGGCCACGCTGCCACCACCACCCACTCTGTATATGTCTTCCAGAAGTTTGTCCATCAGGTCGGTGACGGAATATCGTTTCCGGTGTAACTGTTGTCGTTGAACGTCACCGGACGACGAGTGCGCAGTCGTCGTCGTCGTCGTAAACAGCTGTGAAAAGGACCGTTATTATTATATATAATACATATCTATTGGGCGGATGGTCTAAAAACCCCAACAAATTATCTTTTACAAACGTTTTACATAGTGAAAAATGTTTTTTTTTTTAGAATTCATAAATATTTATATGAAAATGATAGTAAATATTATACGCTATATCCTGTAAAATTATTCTTCTGATGACCATAAAAACAAAGACTTATGGAACAAAAGAAAAAAAAGCTTTTCAAAAAAAAAAAAAAAAATCAACTACCCACAATAATTTATGACAGTAACAAAAAAAAAAAAATAGAATCAAGTATCGAGACATAAAAAAACCTGAGGGTCTATTATAATATATGGAGTTTGGTACTGTGCAATATGATTGTGAAACGACTGAAACTAGACCGTCGAGCAAAGCAGAAACGACTAACGATGAAGTAACTTTCAAACACGGCGCTATCGTAAATTAAAATTTCATGAGTTCAGACTTGACTACTTGAAACAGTATAACAGAGGGGTTACAAACTCGACAAGATACACGAAATGTGTCGAATTTTGTAAATAATTATAAAAACTGGGGAAAATATTATGATAAGAAATTAATAATTATTATTTCATCACAAACGTCTACTGAATTATAAAATAATAAAGTCTTTCGGGCTTCAATAATAAAGTCTTTAATTACAAGCGAGTACGATGGAAACAACGTCAGAAGAAAAGTGGAAATTCCCTGGAAATGTTAGGTTCCTATTACAACAATTTTAGAAAGATATCAATAAAAAACACTCGAAGAACCGTAAGAATTATGTTTCAATAGATTAGAGTGGAAACCTGCATAAAACCAATCGTGTAAGTGGTGTTTTATTTTGATTAAAATCAGATTCTACGTGTAGTGTGTACATTTTTAAAAAGGTCATTGAATATATTATTATTACCATAAATAAAGTTGTAATTATTCGTAAAAAAATGTTTATAATAATACAAGAAAAAAAAAGATAAAATAAAATTTCTTAAGCTACGGGAAAACATCGACTTTTAAAAAAAAAAATGCAAACGTAACCATCTTAATTATTCGTCGTAAATTCTAAATTGCAACTAGTTTCGAGCATAATATGTATAGGTGCTACAGCACATTATTGAACGTATTACTTTTATCGTTATTTTAATGTTAACACGTTTTTGCAAAACGATCGTCAAGCTTAAGTACACAATTTATTATATTATTATCTACCAACTACGTTACACGTTAATGTAATACTTCGTTTGAGCGAAGGTGCCGCATTTTAAAATCGATTTAGTATTTATTAAATTATATTATATTGTGCTTATTACAATTGGCGTTCGAAACTTAATCAAATGTTCACAATTTCAAATTGTACCCAAATAATAATAATATTATCGTTTGCGGTTCGTCACGAATTCCACAATAATTGGAACTGGTATTTTTTTTTATTAGCTTTTGTACATTACTACCTACCTAAGACGTTGAATATTCTTTTAAAGTAGTATATTAACTTAACATATTATTCTCTTCTACCATTTTATTACTCGTAAGCAATATTACTGTCGGTTAATAAATTATAAAATTATAAATCTATAATAACCAAAAATAATCGAATCTAATATTTAGTAGTATATTGTCGTTATTATAAAACAATATTTGATACAACCAGGGACCTGAATCGGAACCTTTATTTCCAAAAAGGAAAAACCGTAACCTTAATTATAAAAAGGTTATTTAGGTTAGGGTAGACTAGTTATTTGGACTAGTCTACTTAAATTAAATTAAAAATATTTATTTCATCAAATCATAATAATTTACAATACTACAAATATGAAATATAACATAATATTTTACTAACTTTTACTATGTGATGGAATGAAATAGCTTAACCTAACCCAAAGAAATATTTACAATATTATCTTATATTCCTATAGATTTTGTATAGGCTGATATTTATATATACATTATTATATATATTATATATTTGTAATTATTTTTTTAACTTTTCATAATACCTTCTATTTTCATGAAATAATTACAATTTAAACACGAACAAATAAATTATTTCAGACAATTTTTTTAATAAATTTTTAATAATCAGAAATCAAAATTAACCGAAAATAACAGATATTTTTCCTTTATATATTTTTTTTTAATAACCGGAACCGGAAAACCCTATAGGTTCCAGTCCCTGGATACAACATTAATTTGGTGTTTAATACTTAGTGTGTTACATAAAAATGACGAAAGTTTCGAAACGCTTAAGCAATATGATTTTCAGTCTAGTTACTTAAATATTTAAGTTAGATATTTTAAAAATACCGGATCGTTGATTTTATACATTTTAACGTTAAAATCTCATATCATCTAACGTCAGGTTGTTGCAAAGTAAAATAAATGGTTCGTGATAGACTAAATTTTCTAAATTAAAAATTTTAAAATAAATTATGAACGTTGATATTATAATTTAGTTAAGTGTAATTGAAAATAAATTAACTTGATTGTATGCGTAGGTAAAATTTATAATGTTTTTATTGGTATTAAAATTATACTTCTCATATTTAGGTGGATGTAATTGAATATTGATATATAGGTGCACAATATTATACTTGAAATATATGATAATAATATATTTATATATTAGTTATATCGGTCCCGACTACCTACCTGAAAACATCATATCTTTTCTTAAGGCATCAAAATTATAAAAAAAACATATGATAATAATTAGAAATAAGCCACTAACATTGTAAAAATTTCTTTTTTCTCTTCATAAGTATATATTTAATTGTATATATCTTAAAAGCGAATGACCTATGCTGTCGAAGCTTTAATGTTCAATAAAAAAAAAAAAAATATATCAGTTACGATACATATTATTTCCTAAACGTATTTACGTGTTAAATTGTGATTTTCAAACGTGTTTTTAACATTAGCTATGATGATTGTAATTAACAAAATTAATAATAATTAAATACAACGACACGTATTGAACTAATTACGTATGATGTGCTATTTAATGTCATACTTCAAAGGTAGTGAACTTTTTAAAATTATAAATGTTTTATGTACCTACATGGTTATTAACTATTATTATTATTATTATAAGTATAATATTATGTACAATCCTATTCAGTGTTTATTGTCTAATATTTATTAATATGAGTCATATTTCACCAACCGTGGTTATTGTAAATAAAAAAAAATGCGTCCTTGTACAGTAAATGTATATAGGTGCGTTACTGTGCAATGCATTTAATTCAAAAGCTTAACAATATATATTATATTACATTTCTAGAAATTTAATTTAAAAGCAAAATAACAGGATTTAAAATATTTTGATTACAGATATGATTTTTTTTCTTTTTTTAATACAGATTTATTATATTTTATTAAATGCTATAATTTATGACGAGACACTCGTATAAATGGATTTTTTTCTTGTTTGGATTTCCCTATTTCATTTTTACGGATGAGACTGACTTCCATAATAAAACTGGATATAATATGTTTAGTAAGAATGATGATTTTATTTGAAGCGAATGCTTAGGTTATTATGGGATAAAGAGTTCTCATTCTGGTATAGCCTTTATGAGTTTGGTTGATATGGATTTTGTAGGTAAGTTTATTGTGGAGAAAAAAAACTGTGGTAAATACTTAACTGAGTCATCTTTTTATTGGTATTTCCATTAAACTAATGGTTATAACTTATAAATATAATTAAATTTAACCAGTGCTTGATTTTCATACGAAGCAGCTGGGAGATGTAGTTATCTATAATTTATTATTTATTTTAAAATCAAAGGTAGGAATGTTTTTATTTTATTTACTAGTTGGCTAAGTGAACGATTATAACTTATGTCTGAATTTTTAATTTAAAATTTAGGTTTATTTATAATCCTTAAAAAATTAAATACATAAATATAAATAATGATTATAATGAATTGTTGATTTTTGTATTATTTTAGATTTTGAACGGAGCTGTGAATGAATTGATTTAACAATGATGTGTGTGTGTTTTTTGTCTACATATCATTGGCATATTTTGTCTTGCTTTGATTTTCCATTTCAACAGATATTTTTGGTAGGAAAATTAATCTATTTGATACTTTGAGGGGGTCAACAGTAAAAAATTCGTAGTGAATTTCCAAAAAAATCAGGAAATTTCTACACATAACCAGATTTGACAAAATTAATTTTGTTTTTTGTATAAACTAAAAACGAATAACCGTAATTACAGGACATTTCCACAAAATGTTTATAAAACAACAGGATTTTAAAAATATTTCGACTCTTTTTGAAAATAAAGTTTCTCCTAAGTACCTACTTCATACTTCAACCAAATAATCTAAACAGTATATTAACATTACAGTTTTTTTTTTTTAGATTTTTTAATTTTAAATTTGGACGAAATTAGATATTTAAACGAATATTAACACTTTTAGTTATATTGTCGTAATTTCAAAATATTTTTATATTTTATACATACAATGATAAAATTATAGTCATTTTGGGCCTATTGACTTATTGCTAATGAATTGTAATACTATTAATGATTTTGATTTCTTTTACCATGACATTAATATTGTCTAAAATCAATTATACTTAAGTAATTGTATTGCTTATTGCCTTATTTTGTACTAGTATTTAAGTATTGTTTATGATTTTATTACCTACTGTATTCACTGTACTATTTGCCTCCGGGACGTTAAATAAATAAATAATTATTATAAATGTTCCAATGCAATTTGTTTTCAGCAATAAATAAATTAAAAGCTATAATATCATAAAATATACTTAGTAATATAGTCTGACATCTTTTCTCAAGAATCTTTTTTTATATAGAATTTTATATCATTGAATTCAAATTTAACACTTCAAACACAAAGACCCACTCGACGCCTACAGTATAAATGTATAACATAATAGTACCCACTTTATAGTAGCTTTTATGTTTTCGATAAAAATACTATTTTAATGTTTATCAATAATTCTAGTACTTGTT